ATGGTCAGATTTGCAGAAAAAAAAAAGAAGATGAGGTGAATGAAAATGGTGGAAAATGAGATGAGAGAGAAAAAACCAGATGTCACTTTGTTAAGGAGGAGACCAAGTCTTGAGGAAATAGCGGACAGAAATCTAATAGTGCGCCACCAATACATAGACAACAGTTACAGCTCTCTCACTCTATGGAAAAAATCCTCGGCTGTAATGGAGCTTTTTCTTTTTTCAACACGCTGTGATAGAGTTAGAACTTGGAACAGTCTGAACAGAAATAAATGGAAGCTATCTCAATATAGAAATTTTGCAATTACTTCTATCCAAATGAAAGTGTTATTATTTTTTTAATTTTTTTTGGAAAGCACCCAAATATATTTGATAATTATTAAGCTAGCGTTTGATTATAAATTTAGTTGAAACTTTAAAAAAAATCGAAATGAGATGAAAAATGCTTTTAAAAGTTGATATTGTATTTTGACACATATATTTTATTTGATTGAAATTGAAGTTTTATGAGTTGAAGTTCGAAAAACTAGCCTAAACTACTTTTTGAAACTTGAAAATTTTATTTTTAAAAACTGCCCAAAACTAGTGGCTTTTTATAGCCAAACAATATTTTCAATGTTTTTTTTGAAAAAAAGTGATAAAAAAATTATAGTCAAACGGGAGCTATATATAGTTATATTTCTTTCTTGAATTTTTCTGTATTTTTTGCTGTTCTCAAAGAATTTTAGATAAGTGCATTCAACGGGAAAATAAATCAATAAAATCATTTGAAGAGCTTTATACAGCTAAGTTTTTCAATAAACTATCACAAATAGCCCAATCTTAGCCTAAAGGTCAAGAAAAGGTAGCATAAATTATTGACTCTTCTACATCTATCCTAAATTGACTATTTGTATTTGTATTCTTGTAAATGCCAATTCATTATTCTTCTTTCGAATAGAGAGTTAATCATATACTATTACATTGTAAATTTGAATTTTCCAGTTTCCAAATTTCATTTCAAATATTTTTCCATTACTTATCTGATTATCCTTTAGTTCAAGCATTTTATTTTTTACTTTCACATGAATAGATGTGCCACGTAAAGATAAAATATTCATTTCAGAATTGAATAACTGAGTAGTTAATAGTTTAGGAATTTGGTTAAAGTGGGACTTGAGAGTTTACTGGTAATTTTAATTTTTCTATGGAGTAAGTAACAATTTTGTTTTATTAAAGTGCGCTTTAATGGATACGATAATGTTCACATGCATGTTGGGTTTTGACCAAAGTATTCCTCCTCATCATGTTGTCGTCTTGTGCGTGTTTACAACTTTAATTAAATACTTTCTCAATTTTCTCACCGACAACAGAATTTAATAGTTTAGGGAACTGAGAACTAGTTCAGAGATTTAACATGGGCTTCTTTTCATCAATCCATTTTAATCGCACATTTGTGGTACGTCGGCTGATCATGTTTTTCACGGGGAAAAAGTTGAATTTATATTGAAGATGACGTGGCGTGACACATAGACTGGACAAATAGTCAAAGTATAACAATTAAGAAAAAGATACGGGAGATGACAGGTACGAGAAGAGGAAGTGAAACAGGCACGAGAAGCAGTTTAGATACGAGTCTCGTATCAATTCGAGTCATTTAAAGCCAGTGGATCAAAAGGCATTGAAAACATGGAACTGAAGACAAAAAGGAGTCCAAATTCAGTATTAAATACCTGATACGTTAGAAAATTGGTATTTAATAGGAATGATTGTGTAACGGCTCATTTAATATCATTTATTGTCCATAATTGTCTCATTAAAGCTTAGGTTTCATTCCTTTATCTAGAATCAACTATAAAAGGAGGAAGTTGTATTGGGAAAAGATCATTGTTGACATCACACTGAAATAAAAACTTGTTCGCTGCTTTATTATTATTCTCAGAAAGCCTATTATTCTTTTTTGGTCTCTTGATTATCAGTAACCCGATTTTTCATCTCGAATTCTAGTTTTAACCGAAATTATATTTTTTGGTTAAACAAATTGGTTCCGTTACCGGGAATCTAATAATCTATTCTTTTTAAGTTACATTCTATTTGTTGTTATCATCATGTCACACGACAATAATAACAGTGAAAACACCTTGGGAAACCGTGAAAATCAAATGCATCAAGATCAAGGAGATTTGTAGAACTTTATCGTGGTCCTCTTCAAAATTCACCACGTCAATCTCGTGAAGGCACTCCTAAATCACATGCTGATGAGCAAGAGCAATCAGAATATTTTGAGGGACCAGAAGAAGCTCTGCAAAGAATAATTGATGCACGGGTTAGCCAAGCTCTTCAGGCGCTAGTTAGCCCGTTACCTGCTGCGCCGTCCACACCTTCGCCTAATAACAATACGCTGGAGAATCCTCGTTCTGGCCTTGTTAATTCAAACGAAGGAACCCCCATTGAACCACGAGAAATGAATCCAGGTAATACAAATAATTCTTATTTACAAAATTTGGTACTAACTTTGCAGACACAGCTCAAAGAACAAAACGAGCGCATCGAGCAAATCCCTGGAGTTCCCCCAATAATCAAAGGAATAGATGCGGATAAATATTCACAACAACCTTGGAAACCAAGTGTTGCTCCCCTTTCAATCCCTAAAAAGTTCAAAATGCCTGACATTTCAAAATATGACGGCACAACCGATCCACGTGACCATGTGACAGCATTTACTATAGGGGTCAAAGGAAAAGATTTAACCAAGAAGGAGATTGAGTCCGTGTTGGTCAAAAAATTTGGTGAAACACTCACCAAGGGTGCACTAACCTGGTATTCTCTTTTGCCTGAAAACTCTATAAACTCTTTTGCTGAGCTTGCAGATTCTTTCATTAAGGCACACTCAGGAGCACAAAAGGTTGAAAAAAGAATGGAGGACATCTTTAAAATCAAACAAGGGGATACAGAGTTGCTCAGAGATTTTGTTGATAGGTTCCAACGTGAACGAATGACTTTACCCCGTGTACCAGATAATTGGGCTGCAATAGCTTTTGCGAGCAATCTAAATGTTAAAAGTTCTGAAGCCACGAGAAGACTTAAGGAAAGCCTTCGAGAGTTCCCTGCAACCACGTGGAATGATGTGTATAACAGGTACAGTACGAAGTTGCGAATCGAAGAAGATACCATGCCTCGATTTCAACATGAAGAAAGAAGCAGTTCAAGGAGATCTGAAACTGAAAAAAGATCAGGTAAAAACAGGTACGATCCTTATATGGGTCCTGCAGGAAAAGATTCACGAACAAAACAGGATATTCAACGATATGATCAAAACATATGAGCGCACTCTAGAAGTACGAGGCATGATTTAACTTGAATTGAGATTTGAGAATTGAGATTGAGAAATGAGAATTGAGAGATGAGTGAAGAAATGAGGAAGAGGGGGAGGGCGGTTATTTATAGTTTTAGAGAAGGTTAATTTTGTAAATTGAAAAAAGGTTAAATTTTAAAGAAAAAAGAGGCTATTAATGCAATTAACACGTTGGGCAACGGATCCCTGCCAGGGGTGACCGTTGCCAACGGTTAGTGGGCCCCACTGATTTCAAAAAATTAAAAAAAAAACAAAAAAAAAGGAATTAGCCGTTGTACCGATCCGTTCCGGGCCGGTTAAACCGGTACACGGCACTGTTCACGTGGACCGGGTTTGACTGGTCCGGTTAACCGTTACAAAAAAATAAACAGACCAACCCCCTCTACCCTTCCTACCCAGCCCACCCGTCCCCCTATGTACCGGACCGGTCTGGTTCCGGTTTTAACCGATCTGGGCCGGTCCGGTTACGGGTCAACCCGGCCCGTTAGACACCTCTACTCCAATCACACACAATATGTGTCTATCAAATACAAGCAGTTGATGTGGCAAAAAATGTGTTTACCACTTCTCTTAAGCGCGTTAGAAGGTCAGATTTTCAAATTTTCCTTTTTTTAAAGGTAAAAAATCCATTTTTATAAAAACCACCACAAACACCCTCTCATCACCGATGCTCCGCCACCGTCGCCCCCAACAAAAATCCTGCAATCATTTTTCTTTAATCTTTTATCACCTTTGATTATATAGTGCTCCTAAATTAAGATTGCCAGCATTTGTAACAAATATACAGAAAAAATAAGATAAAAATGCTAATAAAAACAGACCAAATCACTATCCGTCAATTTAAATCTACCAAAATTAAGAAAGATTCATCAAGTTTTTCCAAAAAGTTGTCTTTCATTGAAGGAAGATAATAATATTTTGTTCTTATGAAATTAAAGATAAAAAGCTACTAAAGTGTGTTTTCTTGTGAGTTACATTTCTCCTTCGACATCAAGCCATGATCATGGCTGCTACTCTTAATGTAGGTTAGTTTTGAAACAAAAAAAGTCAAGTCACATAACACCACTCCTCTCCTCTGCCACGCGGCCCATGCTGCTATCAGTATTGTGGAGGTGAGTTTTGAAATATAACAAATAGAAAAAGGGAAAATGAATGGGGAAGAAGATGGATGGGGAAGAAGATGGGAGGGGTTCTCCGAAATAGAACAAGAAAGGAAGTGGGAAGAAGATGACGGGTGAAGAAAGGGGTGGGGTGGGGGTAGGGGTGGGGGTGGGTAGGGTGGTGGAGGTAATATTGACAAATTAATAGAGGAAATGAAGAGGATGAGCTCACCTCGAGTGAGTTCTAATGGCGAAAGAGAGAAGCCATAGACGAGGGACTTCTGGAAGCTTCTTTTCTATTTCACTAGAAAATGAACTTAGCTCAAAATGTAGAAAATGATACAGGACAAAATGAATACAGTAGAGTAGAAAAAGAAGTACCTACACCTATTTATACTACGTACACCTACAGTTGTATATAACTACCAACTCACTTGTATAGCTAATAAACATACACACGTGTGTCAATACCCCCCTCAAGTTGGAAGGAAGGAACTCACAGCTAACTTGCAAAGTAAATTGCAGTGTTTCACCCATGTGAGGGGCTTAGTGAAGATATCAGCCAGCTATTCATTCGTGGAAATGTGGTGCAGTGTGATGAGCCCCTCGTGTACTTGATCTCTAACAAAATGGCAGTCCACTTCTATATGCTTTGTGCGCTCATGGAACACAGGATTTTTGGCTATATGCGGTGCTGCTTGACTGTCACAGAAGATTGGCACAGGAAATGTCAAGGGGGTTGTCAATTCTGCGAGTAACCTCAGTAGCCATACCATTCTCCCACAACTTGTCTGGCAGCTCTATATTCTGCTTCTGCTGAGGACAATGAGATAGTGTGTTGCTTCTTTGATTTCCAACTAATAGGTCCATCACCCAGCAATACAACATAGCCACTAACTGATTTTCTTGAGTCAGGGCAAGCTGCCCAATCTGAATCACAAAAGGCTCGAACTCTATAATCTTTGTTGTTAGATAAAAAGATCCCTAGATTGGGATCACCTTTGAGATATCTCAGCACATGATATGCAGCCTTCAAGTGTGGCTCCCTAGGACTTTGCATATACTGACTCAAACATTGCACACTATAGGACATATCATGTCTTGTGTTAGTCAGGTAATTCAATTTTCCCACTAGTTTTCTGAAGTGTGAAGGATCAGGCAACAAAGGCCCCTCTTCTACACTTAGTTTGACTGTGGGATCTAGTGGAGAGGTCAAGGCTGAATACTTCATACAGTCAAATTCTGATAGTAAATCCATTGTGAATTTCCTTTGTGATATCAACACTCCATCACCTTTATACAAAATTTCTAGTCCTAGAAAATAATGCAGTCTTCATAAGTCCTTTATTCTGAAGGTCTTATGTAAGTAGACTTTTAGTCCTTCTATTTCTTGCAAATCAGTCCCTGTTACTAAGACATCATCTACATAGACAGCCACAAACACCACTGAATCTCCATGCTTTTTGTAAAACAAGGAATAGTCTAACAAAGAATGTGTGTATCCCCTGGAACAGAGTGCTTCAGTCAACTTCTCATACCATTGTCTGCTCGCTTGCTTTAACCCATATAAGGACTTATTCAATTTGCATACTAAGTCTGACCTCTCTACAGCAAGACCTGGAGGTACTTCCATGTATACCTCTTCATGAAGATCTCCATGAAGGAATGCATTATTCACATCCAATTGAAAAATGTCCCAGCTTTCTTTACTGCTATCCCAACTAGAGCCCTAACAGTTGTCATTTTAACTACTGGTGAAAAAGTTTCTGTGTAGTCTACCCAGCCTCCTGAGTGTATCCCCTCACTACTAGCCTTGCTTTCAATCTCTCTATGCTCCCATCAGCTTTGTGCTTTACCTTTACCCATTTACAACCTATTGCCCTTTTCCCACTTGGAAGAGGCACAAGACTCCAAGTGTGATTGGCATAAAGGGCTTCAAACTCTTGATTCATAGCTGCCTGCCAAGCAGGATCAGCAGCTGCCTCCTCATATGAACTGGGTTCAGTCTCATGAGAAATAGTTTTGATCAGTTGTTGACTATCAGAATTCAAGGCATTGAGTGAGACATATTGGGCATTGGGTATGGATGCATTGAAGGAAAGAGAGGTGGTGCTTTGGTTACTACTAGAGGGAGAGTCAAGATGATTTGTTTGTAATTTGGGTAGTGAATAGTTGTAATCTTTCAAGTAAGTGGGGACTTTGAGGGTTCTGGATGGCCTTCCTGAAATTTCATTAGATTCTTGTATTATTGAATTAGGAGTGTTGTTAGACAGAGTTTCATGAGTTTCATTGTTATCAGATAAGGAAAATTGTTCTCCTGAACTTGAAGTCATATGAGGGTTAAGTTCTATTGCCTCTGGTGATGAAGGATCAGTTGACATTGTTGGGAGTGATGTACTAGGAAAAGTAAGAATAAATGTTGACCTATGAGAAGGAAATAGTTCTTGTGCTAATCTGCATTTACTTGTGGAAATGAGGGAAAGACTCTGTTAGAGCTAGAGTGCAAAGCAAAAGGAAATACACCTTCATGAAATACAACATCCCTTGAAACATGAATTTTCTTTGTGACTGGATTGAGTACCTTGTAGCCCTTTATCCCAAAAGGATATCCCACAAAGACATGAAGTAAGGATCTAGATTCAAATTTATCTTTGTGAGGTTTTAGGTTTGTAGGAAAGCAGAGGCATCCAAAGCTTTTGAGGTGAGAGTATTTGGGTTTTCTTTTGTATAGTAGCTCCAGCGGACATTTGTTTTTAAGAGTGGTAGAAAGGAGTCTGTTAATCAAGTATGTTGAGGTGAGAATACATTCTCCCCAGTATTGCATGGGGAGTTTGGACTGATACAACAATGCCCTGGCTGTCTCCAAAGGGTACTTGTGTTTTCTTTCGACTATGCCATTTTGTTGAGGTGTATAGGGATATGTTTTGTGGTGTATAATTCCCTCAGACTGCAAGAAAGAAGTAGTCTCAGAATTTATGAACTCAAGGCCATTATCTGTTCTAATGATCTTAATGGAACAGTTGAATTGGTTTTTCACCATGGCAGAGACAACTTTGATTACTTGCAGGGCATTGCTCTTGCACCTAAGAAGATGTGTCCAGGTGCACCAGCTATAGTCATCCACTAGGGTGATAAATTACTTATTCCCATCATGTGTTGGCACATGATAGGGCCCCCACAAGTCTACATGTAAGATTTCAAAGATCTTGGTTGTTACTGTAGTTCTTTCTGGGAATGGCAGTTTGTTTTGTCTAGCCGTTGGGCATATTGGACAAATGAAGGACAATTTAGGTGAAAATTGAAAGGGTATGGATTCAATACCTCTAATTTTGGCAAAGGGTACAATTCCCAATCTGTTGTGCCACAAGAGATCAATCATGTGTTTATCATTCATAGATGCATTGCATGTAGGACTAATATTTCCTTTATATTGCACATGAGAGTTGGTGACAATCTTGTTACATTCAGAAGAGGAAGTGTGGGATCCAGATGTAGTAGGAAAAAAGGAATTATGTAAACTAGATGCAATATGTGAATCAGAGTGTGGACTAACACTACTGCTACTGGTTATACTAGATGGAGTAGACTGAGTGATTACATCACCTTTATTTGATGCACTAGATGAATTATCAAAGACTAGGGAATTAGGCTTGTAGAAATCTGAAGTATTGGACTTGCAAGAATTTGATTTGTAGAGATACAGACCATCCTTACTTTTACCAATTGCTAGAGGCCTCTTCAGTGAAGCGGCCTGCAGAAGGATGCAAACAGATTTGGTGAATATGACAAAGCAGTCAAACTGAACTATCAAGCAATGTACTGAGATTAAGTTGAATTTGAAACTGGGAACAAAAAGAACTCTTTTTAGAGTGAACTTAGGGCTCATTACTACATCTCCCATCAATGTCACCTTCACCTTATAACCATTGGGCAAAGTAACTAGGAAAGGGTAAACTAAGGTTTTCACATTGATTAACATGGATTTGTTATAGGTCATATGGTTTGATGCCCCAGAGTCAAGTATCCAAGAGTCAGCAACAGACCTAGAACATTCATATGAGCTAGAACCAGAATCAAAATGAGTTGAACAAGCTGAGATACCTGCAAAATTCACAACTCCTATTTTCATTTCGTTTCCTGCATTTCCAGCATGAAAATTCTCCAGGATGCTTACCAGCTGATTATATTGTTCCTTAGTAAGATTCTGCATAGTTCTGTCTTGTTCCTGTGCAGGTCCACTGTTTCCATCTCCACCTTCAATGACACCCTCTCTTTGACTTTCATGTACATTGGCAGCAATTCTCTTTCCCTTATTAAACCTTGAATCTTGAGGGTAACCATGCAACTTGTAGCATATTTCCTTAGTGTGACCTGGCTTCTTATAATAGTCACAAAAGGTCGTGGGCTATTCCCAAATTGTCCTCCCCTGTAGTTGTTGTTTCTAGTTCTATTTCCTTATTGATTGTAGTTCATATATCCAGTGTTGTCTGCAACGTTTGTCTGTTGACCAAAGTTTGTCCTGAAGTGATTTCCTCCTGACCTGTTCGCACTCAAGGCAATAGACTCAATCACCAATTGATTGTTTGGCTTGACCTCTCTTTGTTTCTCCTCTTGGATGAGAATTGAAAAGGCTTGTGCGAGTGAGGGTAATGGATTCATCATTAAGATAGTTTCCCTGACTACAGTGTAAACTTCGTTTAGTCCCATTAAAAACTGAATTAGCCTTCTATCTTGCTAAGCTTTCTGTATATTCGCCTTAGCACCACATGTGCAATTGCATTTGCACTGGGCGTGAGCATTCAATGTGTTTAGTTCTTCCCAGAGTTTCTTCATTCTAGTATAGTACCCAGTGATGTCTAGGTTTCCTTGATTCAAATCATTTGTCTCCCTCTGCAACTGATACAATTTTGCCCCGCTTGTTTGATCATATCTGTCTTCAAGTTCTTTCCAAAGTTCCTGAGCATCATTAACATACTGTAGACTATCCGCCAAGCCCTTTGAGATAGAATTTAGGATCCACGATGTGACCATGTCATTGCAGCGTTCCCATTGATCATAACTAGGATCCTGAGGATCTGGCTTTCTACACTTCCCGTTTATGAATCCTACCTTATTCTTCACTAAGAGAGCTCTCAGAACTCCTCTTCTCCACGATCTATAGCTTGATCCGTCGAAAAGTCCCGGAACCAGCAGAGAACCAGCGCTTTCAAATGGATGCATGTAGAGCGGATTTGTCGAATCCAAGGCCAGATTTGTCAAATCCAAGGCCGGATTTGTGGAACCCGTTGTGTTTTCATCAAGAGCCATGATTATCAAGGGTCGATTTGAGAGGAAAAGTTGAGAAAATTTCGATATTCGTACAGAAACACTCCGTAGAGATACGCTTCGAATAGGAAGGAAAATTGACTAATTGAGTTTAGGATCGAGAGTCTCGCTCTGATACCATGACAAATTAGTAGAGGAAATGAAGAGGATGAGCTCACCTCGAGTGAGTTCTAATGGCGAACGGGAGAAGCCTTAGACGAGGGACTTCTGGAAGCTTCTTTTCTATTTCACTAGAAAATGAACTTAGCTCAAAATGTAGAAAATGATACAGGACAAAATGAATACAGTACAGTAGAAAAAGAAGTACCTACACCTATTTATACTACGTACACCTATTATTACACACACCTACAACTGTATATAACTACCAACTCACTTGTGTAGCTAATAAATATACACACATGTGTCAATAAATATGAACGAACATGGGGAAGAGGCTTGCCGACGACGGCTAGGGAGGGGCTTTCGTTTTTTAACCAAAAAATTTCTATTTTTTTTTGGTTGGAATTTTTTTTCTTATTAACTTAAGGTGGAAGACATGTGGCTTTTTTTCATTCATTAGTTTCTGCCATGTCAATGTGTGTGTAATACACGCACTATATAATTTTTGCTGCCCAGTTTTTGGCGTTTGATAGACACATATTATGTGTAACGGAGTAGCTAATAGGTACAAGCCTTACTTGAAGTAGCTAAGTGAAATAGTGGACAAGTTTAAGGAGCCGTATACGTATTCCGCTAAAGATTTATAATATTGGTTGCTTCGGAGTCCACCTATCTCTTATATTACAATTTTACTAATACAAAATATAAATTTTGGTTGAGAAAAATAAAGAATTATTTCTTCTAACTTGTTGTTGTTCTAGTATTCTACACTTTTTGGAACTTCTCATATAATTATGAATTAGTACAATTAAGAAAATATATGAAAATTCTATTTAAATCTAGAAGAATTAACTTAAATAGTCGTTCACCCAATCGTTTAATTTAAAATAAGTCAGCGGTTATGTGATTTTTTATATAATTCATGCATAATATGTTTAACGGTGTATTATTAGTGTATAATATATGTATATCTGCTAGAGAAAGTATACAATAAATTTGGCTGGCTATTTATGTAAAGATTCCTAGTATACAGTTAATTTAACGGATATTTGTGTAAAGATCCCTTTAATTTATGAGTATTTGGTATTGCATAACAACTTAGTCCAATAATTGGCAGAAAATGGCCTATCTTTTAGCATTTGGCACACGTAGCCTAAATTTAAAATTTAATGACCTTCTCTCTCTTCTAATGGCCCAACCATCACCTCAAAAATAGGCTTTTATTTCTTTTTCGTTAGAATTCAAAAATCTTTCAAGATTTTCTCCCAAATCTCTACAATCTTTTTTCTATGTTTTTAATTATTTCTCACAAGCAATAAAAATGTTAAAAATTATAAATATAGTTTGTATATCATAGTGTATATCCAAGTGTATAACACAAATAAATTTTATTTTTGTATATCATGCTGTATAACATGTATACCAATATATATATCACAACTTTATTTTTCTTCTTTGTGTATATCAAAAATTTATTTTCCTTCGATAGTTGTCTATAGTTTGTATATCACAGTGTATATCCAAGTGTATAATACAAATAAATTTTATTTTTTGTATATCATACTGTATAACATGTATATCAATATATATATCACAACTTTATTTTTCTTCTTTGTGTATATCAAAAATTTATTTTCCTTCGATAGTTGTCTATAATTTATTATTATCTTTATATCCAAGTGTATAACACAAAACTAATTATATTATTTGTATATCACATTGTATAATACATAATAAAACGTGTATAGCAAAATATATATCACAAATTTATTATCCTTCTTATTATCCATCTCGGCCTTCGATTTCCTCGATGAAAAAATCCTTTATTTCACTCCACACCACAGACGACAGACTGTTCCTATACATTCTAGTTTTCTAGCAAACTATATCTCTCTATTAAAGCTCCATTATTACATTTACTGCCATTTACTGCTGCTACTCATTATGTTTAACACAAGCTTCATTCGATAAGGCAGCAAAACAGTAAATACTTGAATAACACAGAATTGTGCATCAAGTTTTACATCTTTTTTTTTCTTCTTCCATTTTGACATAAATTTCGGGAGGGAGGGAGGGAGGGAAGGGGGAAGGCAGAGAACAAGAAAGGGGAGGGGACCAGCGAACAATAGAGGGAGGGTGGTAGTTTTTAGAATTGGCTATATAATGCCAATTATTTAGGGCTATCTTTGCCAAAACCTAATATAAGGCTAAAAAATTGTCAATTCCCCTTCTGTGTTGTCATCGGGTGTCATTTTTTCTTAATTTATTGGACTAATGAAACCTTTCCCTAACCTTTTATTGGGCTCGGTAAATGGCCCAATAAACCACTTACCCAAAGCTAGCCCAGCTTATTTAAGCACCTCATACATAACCAGAACAACAGTTCCCGCTGAGTTTGAACTCTTCTTCTTCTTCGCTTTATCATTTTCATCTGCTGCTAAAGAAGAAAAAGAAAACCCAGAGACGACTCTTCTCTTATGAAGATGTTCAAAGCCATAGGTAAGAACCTTTTCCTCCTCCGTTTACACACACACACACATAGCACATTCAATATCACACTTTGTTTTTCAAGAAATTAATCAACCAAAGTTCGTTTTTTTTTTCTCCTTTTTTTAATACAGCTCTTTTTGGGTTCAAGAAATCGTCAAAACCATTCAAAGATTATTACAGTAAATGGTTCAAGACGCTCAAGAACGTTCACCTCCCTCAGCTCCGTCACGCCATGTCATCATCCTCCACGGCGGGGCCCATTCTCTTAGCTTCCCACGTTGAGGTCATGCACCGTCACTTCCTTAATTACTATGAAGCCCTCGACCTCGCCGCCGCAAACGACGTCGCTCAGGTCCTTTTTCCCGACTGGCGTAACCCTTTAGAGAAACCCTTCCTCTGGCTCGGTGACCTTCACCCTTATCTCTTCATAAATCTCCTCCGTTCATTTCTTAATGACTCCGAATCCGAATCCGAGCCCGAATTCGACCCGGAAATATTCGACAAGCAACAAAATTGGCACGTGGTAATGGCATGGAAGAGCCCTAGTAAGAAATTAACGACACGTGTCGATCAGATTGAGTGTGGTTTAAGGCTAATGGTACCTGCATTGGTGGCGCGTGCACGAGACGCGCAGGCGGCGTTTGTGGAGAAAGTGGCGGTTGAATGGGGGAGGTTTGAAGGGAAAAAAGAGGAGATGAAAGGGGTTGTGGCGGAAGCTGCGGCGGCGGAGATGGAGGAGTTAGTGGGTGTTTTTGTGGACGCGAATAGGCTGCGGAGGAGCGTGCTTTCCGATATACTGAGCGTGACGGACGTGTATCAGGCGGCGGTTTTTCTTGAAGGGCTAGCTCAATTCCTTGTTGGGTTACGGAATCGTGAATTAGTCCGTCAATTTGAGAAGTGTTGTTTGGAATTATAGTTCCATTTCTGGGGATTGCTGAAGTCAGTGCATAGATATTACATTACCTCTTTGGTTAATTAGTTATTTTGTGCACTGCTCTAACTTAAGCCAATAATCATGATTAATTTCTACTAATAGTAGTTAAGTAAATTTAGAGCACTAAAGATTCTGGTTGTGTATGTGGGAAGATAAGACTGCAATATTCATTTGATTTTGTTTCATGTTGCTTGTAATTTGTTGTTATTTTTTCCTTTTGTTATTCAAAGTTACATTGTTGAACTGAAGAGAGTTGTAAGGAAAATCTGGCATTTTTATTGATTTGGAAGCTATGAAGACTTGAAGAGAAGTTTTATTGTGTGCCTCGTACAACTGTTATTAGTTGTTGTGTGAGATTCCTTTTTGTCTCACAAATTTGTGGACCCCAATTTTGCTATTCTGGGTCCACAAAATCTAGGTCCACAAAATTGTGAGACAAAAAAAATGTAAAAATAGCACGGTCTAGCCAACTTTCGGACTGGTCATTCAAAAATAGCCAGCATTTACCAAGTCAATGAAAAATAGCTACTATTTTGCTGCAACAGAGGCCGGTCCAGCATAATATACTGGAGTTCGGTGCACCCGTGTATGAACTTCCAGCATATTATGCTGGAACTCCAACGCACGAAAAGTTCCAGCATAATATACTGGAGATTCGAGCACTTGTGTATGAACTTCCAGCATATTATACTGGACCGGTATACTTTGCTGGAACTCCAGTATATTATGCTGGAGTTCTAGTGTACTTATACTGGAACTCCATCATATTATGCTGGAGTTCAAGTATACTTATGCTGGAACTCCAGCATAATTTACTAGCGTATTTTCTGGGTTTTGAACAGTGTTTTCGCTTAGATTTATCTTTACATGAAAAGTGGCTAAATTTCGATTACTTTTGAAACTGGTTATTTTTGAACGACCACTTATAAATTTGACTATTTTTGAATTTCTCCCCAAACAAAATAACTCAAACAACTAGTGTCAGTTGAATGAGACTCAAAATAAAATTTTCCAAACTTAGAATGACAAAATTTTTGTCTAACTGTAAACCGTAAAAATTAGAATTGTCCTAGATATTGCTGAAAGGGTTGCTACTTTATCAATTTTAAGTGGATGCATTGAGAAGATGAAATCTGTAGATTAAAAAATGCATTATACGTAGTTTATTTTGCTCGGCATTTTAGATACAGATAAATGTGGTTTTAAGCTTCAGAATAGTGATGGTAGGTAAAACTCGTAAATGACAAATTCTCTCAAATGTGTGCTATGTGTCAAAACGGGTCGGATCAAATAATGGACTCCTGCTGGGCTTCCCTCTCTTCCATACAATGATAGGAATAAATTAGATGAATTGATTCCTCAATATGTCCAAATCCATCACAGCCCCCTTCAACTTTTGAGCCCAATCTAGCCCCTTGCTATATCATTTTAGAGAAAATGGCATGGTATCATAACACATAAAGAGAATTAGTAATATTTTAGCCTCATATTAATTTTGGCAAAGGTAATCCAAAGAAAATTGGCATTATATAACCAAATTTTAAATTACCCTAATTTCTTATTTATTCTCTTTCACCGTATTTTTTCTTCTCTCTCCTCGTATTTCTTCTCCAATTTTCTTCTTCAATCTCTTTTTTCCTTCTTCAATCTAGCAAATTTTTCTCTTCAATCTAGTTTTGGAAGGGCATATGTTATTTGATATAATATTTGGGAAGTTGTAATGGTCGAATACATTTTATTTATTTATTCTCCCTCTCTCTTCCCGTCATATTCGTAAAAATAGCATGGTATAGCCAGTTTTCGGACTGGTCAATCAAAAATAGCCAGCGTTTACCAAGCCAATGAAAAATAGCCACCGTTTTGCTGCAATAGAGACCGGTCCAACATAATGTACTGGAGTTCGGTGCACTTGTGTATGAACTCCAGCATATTATGCTGGACCGGTATACTTTGCTGGCTCCAGTATAATATACTGGAGACTGGAGCACTGGTGCTCCAAACTCCAGTATATTATACTGGACCAATATACTTGCTGGAACTCCAGTATATTATGCTGGAGTTCTAGTGTATTTATGCTGGAACTCCATCATATTATGCTGGAGTTCCAGCATACTATCCTGGAACTCCAGTATAATATGCTGGAGTTCAAGAATACTTATGCTGGAACTCCAGCATAATATACTGGAGTATTTTCCGGGTTTTGAACAGTGTTTTCGCTCAGATTTATCTTTACATAAAAAGTGGCTAAATTTCAATTACTTTTGAAATTGGGCTATTTTTGAACGACCAGTTGTAAATCTGACTATTTTTAAATTTCTCCCATCATATTCCATCTATACAAATAAGAGAAAGCCCTAATAGTGGCTATGACAATGACGGCAGCGGCAATTAGCAATCGTAGAGTTCAATTTGTTTCGTGTCTCTTTGGCAATTTCAAATTGTTCAATTAATTTTAAGAGGGCGAAATTCATTTTGAATAAACTTACTTCAATTTTGTTATTGATCAAAGAAGGAAAATAAATTATTGATATAGTAAGCGTAGAGCAAGTTCTAAAATAAAATTAATAAATATAATTATGGAAGTAAATAAAATTTTGATATACAGAGAAAGAAAATTTGATATAAATTTTGATATACACAATGAAGAAAAATAAACCTAGGATATACATTTTGGTATACACATATTCGATGTGTTATACATTGTGATATATAAACAATACAATTATTTTATCGTGATATATATTGATATAGAGACAACAATAAATTTTAAATAACTATAATATAATTTCATATTTTGGATACACAAAGAAGGAAAACAAAATTTTAGTATACATGTTTATATACGAAAAGAAGAAAAAAAGTTATGATATACATTTATTGGCTACTACGTGCCAATATTTATAACTATGACTTTTTTCTGCTAATTATGTGGGTAGCTTGTCATACCATGCCAAAATCCCATCATTTTACCTAATAATCTCAAAAGTCCATAATTGGTAGGCAAGAGTTACACTTGAATCTCACGGAAATGTACCAAAAAAATTAGCAATGATAGACAACATTCAAAAACATAGGCAAATCTTTTTTTCGATAGGTTTTGTTGTGATTCATTGAAAACACATAGATGAGGCAATATACAAAATTTGACGAAGTTTGAAAGACTAGTTTGGAGTCAAAATTCATTACCAATGATATAAAATATTAAAAAAATTAGGCAAAAAGGATTTTTTTTTTCAATGAGTATGGATGAAATTCGTTGAAAACGTATAGATAGATGAAGCAATATAAAAACTTGAGCAAGATTGAAAGTGATTTGGACTAGTTTGGTATCAAAATTCGAAGTTAAAATCTTGTTTAAAAACGCATGTATCTCACCCACCCATAGTTATACATGGATATATACGTGATACGCATATGATACATATGTGATATACAGTGTAATACATATATCAACTTGTTCCATGTTCATCTTCTACTTCGAATTTTCAATTCAAACCACCTCAACTTCACTAAATCCTCCCAAAACTGAGATTCAAACTCCTTAAGATGTACCCAATCTATTCCAACAACACTCGCTCAAAAGAAAGAAAAAGTTTAACCTTTTTTGATTACAAATAGCTAAGGGATCTTTACACAAATAGCCGCCATATTCATTATTTACTTTTTCTAGCCATGTACATAGATTATACATTGATTATACATAATTATACACATATATACATAAATAATGCATATATTATGCCTGCACCGGCTAGTTTTATTTTAAACGGTTAGGTGGAGAGCTGCTTGGGTTAATTCTTCAATTAGCTAATTGGCTACTTTTGATAGCATTTGATTAATATTAGTAATATTTTATGAATTAATCAATTCCGTACTAATTTGCTTATGAGTGGACATAACCGGTAATATCCCTACCATAAATCTTATAAGCCTATAATTGCCAAGTATTTTCAAGATAAAAGAGTACGTAGGATATTGTCCCCGAGGGGGTTAGGTTCTATTTGCGTTTAATTTTTTTTCATTTTCTGAAGACAAAAAATGTATGTTGTTGTTCAGATGTGATTTGGTTCATGTGTGTAGTAGTTCCTAACAAAAGAACGACATTATATTTTGATTGTTTTTTTAAAACCTTTTAAGAAAAAACACGAATAATTTAGACTCCATACTAGAAAACTATATTGACCTTTGAGATTATCTTGCTTCTCATGATTGCAAAGTTTTGGCAAGAAGTTATTCTGTTTCCCTCTCCTGCCCTATAAAGATCAATGGTGTTCTTACTCATTAATTATCCATGTGGTTAAAACCTCCAATCTATCGGTTTAGATTCCAACGTATATATGAGAACCAATAAAAAAAATTTATTCTTTAATTTTCTTCCTCTCCCATATGGTGCCGGTTTTGGGATATTCTCTTTAACATATATGGGAGTAACGTTTAACTTACACAATCAAAATAGTGTGATGCATTCTTTATTGCCATTTCTCAAGCATAAAAATTTGTTTGTATGCAAAATGCATGTATGCAACAATACAATACTCGGCCCTTCCCCACTTATGTGTAGTGTTGGCGATCAACGATAGATGATCATTGAACATTTCTTGGAGTTTGCTTTTGGAAATGAAATTTTAATTTTCTCATACGACGTACTACGATATGTATAATAAATAGATTATATGTTGTAATCAGAGACTACTCCAAAGAAAACAGTTACAGCTTGTTTGGATTGTTGTTAGTTGTTACATGTCGTTTCATAATGTACCGTATTGTATTGTACTGTATTGTTTGATAAATACAATATTTGGATAAATTGTATTATTTGTCGTCGTTTCATGATGTCATGCACTAACAATCTGAAGAATAAACTTACAATATTAATAAGAAAAAATGGAATATAGAATAGAATTATTATATAAAAGAGTAGTGTAACTGATAAATATGATTATTTAATAATAAGGAAGGGCAAGATGAGAAAAAAAGTCAGGTAACGACGCCACCACACCAAATCCTTCGTTCCATATAGTGACACATTTCGTCGTTACGTAACGACAAATTTAACAATACGATACAATAAAATTGAAGTAACAATCAAAATAAATATTATATTTAAAGTAACAATACGATATGATACTGTGAAATTATGGTACAGAGACAATGTCAAGAAGGCAATGTATTGATGTATTTTCAGTTAAACGACTCCCTTGTACTTATACAGAATATTGATTCTATATTTTGATTATACAACATAGAG